TTCAGACAGGAGTCATTCAGACAGGAACAGCCGAAGTATAGAAGAAGGGGCTCTCTCTCTCTCTCTCTCTCTCTTCCTCTCTGTCTCTCTCTCTTTCTCTCTCTTTCTCTATGTGTGTGTGTTAGTTCTCATATGCAGTATATTACAGGTTAAAACCTGTCCCTGTTCCACTGCTGACTATGAACTTGGGCAAATTACTCATATTCTAAACATTTTCACTTCCCTTAGCTGACAAACAGGGATATCAATACAGATAACACCCATCTGCCTACACTTCGGGAGAGGTTAAATGAGACCAAGCACACAGGCTTGGCACTGAGGAAGTGCTGAATCAGCACAAGCCTTGCAATTTCTCATCTTCATTCCGTCCTGCTCTTGGGTATGCTTGAGGTCTCCTTGGGTACAGTATATTTTTGTGCCATGGAGAAGTGCAGCTACCCAGCCCATTTTACCTTGACTAAGAATAAATCTGCTTTGTCTAAGCCATGGGCTTAGATTCCTGCATCCACTGGGGATGCTGCAATGCGAGACTAAGGGTTAGAAGAGGCAGGACACTGTGTTTTCAAGTTCTGACACATGTCAGGGAAATCTGGTCTGCTGGGCTGGGAAAGGATGGGACAGAGTTCAAAGGCAAGAGAAAACAGTAGCCACGGAAACAATATGTCCTTTTAGTCTGTGGCCCAGAGATCCAAAACTCATCCTAGGGAGGTGTCTTTTCCCTTCCATGACTCACTGACTCTGTTGAAGAACAAGTGTCTATTTCCTCTTGAAAAAATCTCTTAAGAGAGAGGACATGTGTGGGAGAGCAAAGGCTGATGGGGGACCCGGTGACCCTCCCTTGCCTCCTTGGGGAGGTAGCCAGGTGACTTAGACTAGAGCAAGGTATACAATGGACATGGCCACCCAGAGCAGGCTGCAGATACCAGTCTTGGGCGAAGGCTAGCCCAGCTTTCATCCCACAACTCCTTCCTCCTCTGAGCCAATCAATACAAGCACCAGTCTCCAACCAGCTCCTTTTTCTTGCCACAGCCCTGCCCTCTGACCTTTTGGGGGCCTTTTCCTTGATTCAGCTCCAGAATGGAGGTAGAGGCCATCACTCCCGGTCTGCTCAATGGCCCCAGAACGGGTTGTCATGGGGGCCCTATAACCAGGGACAGCTCCTGCTGGCCAAAGCTGGAATGGGGAGGGCAACAGATAAAGGCCTTAAAGTCTGAAGATAAATGGCTGCCTGCAGCCTGCTACAGTAACTTTAGGCCCCCAAGAAGAAGAGACAAAGGTTGCCCCTGTGACACTCACTGGAAGGATGAAGGTCCGGCAGCAGCAGCCAGGCTATTTCAAAGCCCAGCTTAATTGTCAATTAAGCATGCATAAGGGAGACAAAGCCATGACAACCCCTGGCTGCATGCTGGTGTGTGATTGTAAAGGCAAAGAGGGGCAAGGCTGAAAACAGCTGATTCTGCTGACTGTGTTTGTAGGGTACCTTGTAACCAACTGGCCGCTGACAGAGGCAAAATGCTCCTCCTGCCATCCCTATTGTGTGGGACATTCCAGGACCAGGGTCACACTGTGGTCACCCTGGGCAAGTGGGGCACATGCAGTAAGCATGGCTGGGAGAGAAGGGACTCGAATAAGGAAAGGAGGCTCAACTCTCCAGGAAAAGGGTTCTCAGGGAAGGGTCTTCTCTTTGGTGCTGCCAGACCTCCTGGCTCAGGTGCTGGGGTTTGGAGAAGAGACAGTGTAGAACAAGGTGCTTGGACTTTGAGGTCTTGTCCCTCCCCAGCTCAGCCTTAGAGTTAGAGGCTGGGGAGATGGCTCAGAGGGTAAAAGTGCTTTCGATGCAAGCATAAGTACTGGAATTGGGAACTCCAGCACCTGCATAAATGCTGGGTGGGCATAAGGTTTGTTTGTCATTCTGCACATTGAGAGATGGATAGAGGGGTTCCTCAGAGTAAGAAAGCTAGCTAGAGTAAATCCAGTGTAACCTCACAAGTAAATCTAGTGAACTCTGTGTTCAAGTAAGAGACCCTGCTTTAATATGTGAGTCAGATAGCTATCAAGACAGACACTGGACGTCAACCTCCTGCTCCTCTCTTAGCCTCCTCTGCACTGTATCTCCTGTGGCTTACAGGAATGCCTAACCCTGTGGCTTAGACACCACACCACCACACTCACGCACCCACACATAGAGTGTGTGCCCATACAGTTGCATCTCTAGTGGTCTACAGGAATGTCTAACCCCATGGCTTAGACAAACACACACACACACACACACACACACACACACACAGTGTGTGTGCCTATACATAAGTCATATGTGAGTATGCATACACATGTGTATGCACACACCATACACATACATGCACATGGAGAACAAGAGAGAGTGAGCAAGATACAGACAGACAGATAGGTAGGTAGGTAGGTAGGTAGACAGAGATAATCAGTGCTGATACTGGGTGTTGGTTCAAAGTCTTAGGTTCCAGGTTTTTGGTATGGTCAGGGACCTGGGAGGTCCCACTCTGGGGAGGGTATAGTGAAGCTCTGCAGCCCAAATTTGACCAGCCTTGGGGAAAGCCCTAGAGCCATCTTGACAGCCTCAGAGGGGCATCTAGGGTTCTAATTCTAGTGTCACAGAGCACAGTGGTCACTTCCCTGCCAGTCCCAGGATGAGACCTGGTCTTACTGCCTCTCGGGATTAATGTCCTTTCCCCTGCCCTTGTTCCCACCACCTCGTTTATGCTCTGCCATACCGAGATGACAGGAGTGATCTCACTGTGGTTTGTGGGGAAAGGTGGTTATTCAGAGGCCCACCCATTTAATCCTCACAGGCACCCAACATCCATTTGATGCACAGAAAACTCAGAACTTATGTGAGTTAGTCACATGCATCACCTGTCTACTTAGAACTGTTTCAAAATGACACTCAGAGAATCTAGTTCCTGGGTAGTCAAACACTACCTTGATGGACGTTGAATGAAAATGAAGGCCTAAACAGCCACTGAAAATATCCAGTGTCCCTGTGACAGCTGTAGACTCTTTCCCTAGAATAGCCCACTCATGATGTCCCCAAGAGATAACCTTGAGCCCAAGCTGACTCTGGAGACTCCATGCTGGCAAGAGGTCCTTCCTACAAGGCATAAAATTTCGAGGATGCAGGGCCCTGTGTCCCCAGCATTTTCCTTTTTCTCCCTGTTTAAAAGTACTGGCTGGGCATGCACTCCATCATGAGGCTATGTCCCCAGTTTATATTGTCAGGACCTGATTAGCATTTGATGCATATTTATGTTGCAAGAATCAGCAGATTCATTTCCTAATCACCATCGTGTGAGTTTGGACAGATTATCTGTTTCTGAGCCGCTGTTTCATTCTTTGAAGTCCTTTTGGGTGCTGTCCTTCTCAATTTTCATAAAGGTCCAAACTTTCAGTGTAACCCAAGAGACTCTATTTTCAGTGGACCATACCCATCCCAGATGCCCGTCTGAGACTGTCTCCTGCCCTTGTGCTGTTCCTAATGCCTGGCCCTGCTGCCTTAGCTCTCTGGCTTTCCAGTCAGGGCACAGAGAACCTAAGCTAGCGACCCTGTGGTGACCTCAGCACAACCCCAGCTTGTCAGAAAGCTGCTGAGCCTTTGTTTGGCTTGCGGGCTCCCTGACTTTGGTGTGGAGATCACAGGTCCTAGTACAATAGCCATTGTCTTCTCAACAATGATCCTTGCCCCAACCACGCCCCCCACAGCTTCCAGATTTAGCTCCACGATCACCATGGTGGGCGAATGCTCCAGTCCTACTCAGTACTGGCCATGAGCCATCTACCACCTACCCACTAAACCTTGCTTTGTATTGTTGTAAAGGGGTTAAGTGACTCGCGGTCAGGCCAACACTTGCTCCCCTCACTGCCCTCAGCTTCTTTGCCTCTCATGAATAAGCCAACTTTATTTTGGGGCATCTTGAGTCCTTCCTTAGCTCATAGCAGGTCCAGAGAAACTCCAGCCCAGTCCCAGGCTTCACGATGGCCAATTTCAGGTCTTAGGTTGTGCCTCCTGTAAGTGGCAGGCATGGAACAAAGGCCTGCCTATCACCCACTTGGTAACTCAGACCCTGTCCTGATGATTTGGATTACCCAACATATGGGTCAGCTCCCAACTCTTGGGCCTTTCCCATCAAAAAGGTAACTTGCAGGAGAGAGGAGAAAGGGACTTGGGAGGACAGAGATTGTGACAATGGCTGGCTTTCCTTTCTCAAGCCTTTCCTCTCAGATCAGGAAGCAGTGTTGTTTGGTATGCACAGGTACCAAACAACTATCCATAAGCACCTCCTCATTCTGGTAAGCTAACTTTCTTAGGAGAATTAAGTCCCAGGAGAAGAAGACATGGCTGACACAGTGCTTAGCATATAGGGGTCCTTTTCCACGTGAGGATATAGGTTTCCATCTTGACACATTCAAACCCCACAGCAGAGATATTCTGATCTGGTACATGGTACAAACTCCTTAGCCAGCTCATCACAGAAGATCTCAAGTGATGTATCACATCTTAATCCTGGCTTACTTAGCACAGCAGAGACTGCCACCCAAGCGTCCCTTCACTTGGCTCCTCCTGTTGAAACTAGACAGTGCCAGATAGGCCATGGGCAGGCACGGCAGAAGGTGGCCAGCATGCTATTCTCCATCATAGTGACCAGTGATACATCACTGTGATCTCCCTGCCTGTGGCTTGGACCTGGCACCCTGAAAAGGCAGCCTTCTCTGGGGATAATCTGGGTGGCTGAGTCAGCAACCACCCAGAGAGAATAAAGACTGAAGAAAAGGGCAAAGGGCTCCTTGAGGGCCAAGCAGCTGAACAAGGAGTAGGAGGAGACCTGACCAGCGGCACTCACTTCTCTCTCATGAGAATGTTCTAGAAATGGGGGTAAAGTTGGTCTGTGGCCATTTCAACCATGAAGAGAATGAGGCTGGCAAGGGCCGTGACAGTTCCGAGGCAATGCAAGGCATGGGTCTCCACTTACCTGACAGCTTGTTGGGAGGAGAGGAGCTGGGCTGGTGATGAGGGGAGCCATGGGTGAGCAGGGGGTTCAGATTGTGTGTCTGGTTGGAGCTATAGGCATCCATGGCCAGCTTCTGCCGGAATGCCTCTTCCTTCCTGCGGTTTGCAAACCAGTTGTAGACACGGACCTCTGTGACCAAGTTGGAGCCTAGGCCATGGGCTTTGGAGGGGGAGACCCCTCGTTGCAAACATTCTGCCCTGCAAAGAACGGGGGGGAGGGGAGAGATGGTGAGTGAGGTGGCTGGGGGAATTGTGTGTCATACAGTTAGGGCAGAGGCTGAAGATCAGCGGAGGCTGGGAGGGAGGTCATCCAGAGAAAGCATCTTCACAGTATCTGAAAGGGCTGGAGGGAAGTATGGGCCCTGAGTAAGCTATGCTACCTAGAAGGCTGAGCTTAGGCCCCTATGTGGCTGCTATTAGATGAGGGCAAGCCAAGGATCAGCAGTTTCAAGAGAAGGCCCAGTGACTGGCTTCCTGACACCTTCTTTACTGCCTCACCAAAGGCAGAGAGTCCTTTGCTGGCTCTATCTGAGTCTCTTCCTGGCACTATGAGAGACATCTGGGCTTTGGGGGTTTGGATACCCCAAGAGGGTGCAGGAAATCCAGATTCCACATTCAGACTCTGGAGCAAAGAGCTAGTGGAGAGGGGCGGGGTCATTAAGGAGGCAGACAGAGAGGACAGGTCTCTGATTATGAGCGCCAATGAAACCCCCTAGCCCACTGTAAGCTATGCTCTTGGACACAGCAAAAGATCTTGTGTCAAACCCAGGCTGCTTCCTTGGTTCAATGCTCAACTCAGAGACATAGCAAAGGCCCCACAGGCCTCTGCCAGAGCAAGGAGCAAACGCTCTAGAGAGTCAAAACTGGAATGAAAGAGAATAGAGAAAGAATGAGGTCAAAGGGTTCTCCAAGAACTACCAGTGTTTGTTTGTTTGTTTTTTAAATTATACATACAGAACACACAGAACGGAGTCTATTGAGTCAGTGTAGACAGAGCAGACCAAACAGATCCAAACAATTCTTCCTGTCCCTCTAAATTTCCTTATTGTTTTGCTTGAGATAGGGTCCCGCTCTGAAGTCCGGAGGGGCCTCAAATTCTCTATCCTCCTCCTCCCTTTGCCTCCTGAGTGCTGGGATTACAGGTGTGTGCCACTATGCCAATCATCCTCATAAAACCTGTGCCAGGCCCCGGTTTCTTTCCGGGCGAATGGGGATACAGTTAGAGGAGACCAGAGCTAAGGGACAGTTTGATGTTGACTGTATGGAGCAGAAACACATCTCTCCAGCATCATATTCCATGTCAGACCTTTTAGAAATCTCCCCTAAAATAATCACATATGGAAATAATAATTTAGTATTTCATAGAGGTGAGACTCCATGATCGACAAACAACAATGCTGCACAGGCTGTGTGTGTGTGTGTGTGTGTGTGTGTTCATGAGCATGCATGTGCTCACACCACAACACATATGATGAATTTAGAGGACAATCTGCAAGATGTGGATTCTGGGGATCAAACTCAGGCAGTCAGGTTTTGCAGCAAGTGCTGAAAACCTCTGAGCCATCTTGCCAGTCCTCCTAGGAGTTTTTAATATACTAAAATATGCTGTGGCTCCTGAAGAAGTACTCCTGTGATGTCTCTCACATCTATTAATTAATAAAATAACAGATGTCTCAATGTCACAGGACTGACGGGGATCCTTCCCCTGATTGCTCCAGCGGTCTGCGGGTATTACCTGTTACACTCTTCCACTAAGGCCTCCCTCTCTTCCTTGCTGGGATTCTTTTGCCGGTCGTAGGCCTGGTACAAAATTTGCTGGGATGCGGGCCCCCATTTGAACCGGTTGCGGCGCATCTTCTTGTTGGCGGGCTCAGAGCAGGCATCCTCGGACTGCCCAGGCCCCTGGTTTTGTTGAGTGAACTCTGGAAAGAGAAATAGCAGCTGATCCTGACTGCTTTTGTCTGTCATATTTCCAGAGCTCTGGACTGTCTGGTTGAACTCTGAAAAGAGAAAGGAGTAGATTTGATAGAGCCTGTAGCCTTCACTCCACAGACAGACAGACAGGCAGGCAGACAGACAGACAGACAGACAGACAGACACAGACAGATGGTTCAATGTACAAAGACCCCTTGATTCCTCTCCCTTAAACTTTACAATTTTCTCTAATTTCATGAGGGGATAGAGAGGGGACACCTTATGGCAGGCTCCTCCCTGCTTGTCTTGTGTCCCCAGAAAAGCTACCCTTTCCTTTCTTGGATAGAGCTTAGATGTAGCCAAGTCAGTGTTTTGAGAAAATTAATTCTTTTCTTTTGACTCAATGACCTTCTGACATTAAGTGACACTCTTGAGTTTTGGATGCTTGTTTTTTTTTTAATTGTTGTTTTTTTGTTTTGTTTTTTTTATTGATTGATTGATTGATTGATTGATTGATTTTGATTTTTTTTTCAAGAGAAGGTTTCTCTGTGTGTCCCTGGCTGTCCTGAAACTCAGATCCACCTGCCTCTGCCTCCCGAGTGCTGAGATTAAAGGCATATGCCACCATCACATGGCTCTGAATGCTTTTATTTTGATGACAAGGAATAAGCCCAGTCAAGTTTCAGCCCCAGGAGAAAATTGTCCAAAGCTGTAACTTACACTTACCTACTATATTTAGAGGCTGTGTGTAGACCTCCCTCCCACCCTTTGCTCCTCATTTATCCTGGGCACCTGTATCCTAACGTGAGGTTTTTTTAAAGAACATGAAACCCTAAGCCTTTAAAATCATGCTTTGAAATTTATCCACAAAAGATGTATCCACAAAAGATGTTCCTTAGGCTTCTAGTATGACTGCAAAGGCAATAGTTTGTGTGTATGTGTGTGTTTTATAAGGTGTCTCTGTGTGGTGCTATTCTGCATGTGTGTTTGTGGTGTGTATGTGGTATGTGTCATGTATGCATGTATATGTGTGTGGGAGTGTATGTGTGTATCCCAGAGGACCTTTAATGAGGAGATAGCTCATTAAATTTGCTCTCACAATTTGTAAGACGAAGGGCAGAGTCCAAAACAGAGGACCTTTCTAAGAATGACGCCGAAGGGGCTAGAGAAAGGTGGAAGGAAACACCTAGCCCTGTCAGATCCACCTTCAGTCTATTTGTCACCAAAGGAATGAAAGATGAAGACAGCCTGTCTGATATGGTTGGAATGAGTTTTGATGTCCACTTTATTAAGAAGGGAACTATGTTGTTCTCTACCTCCTACCTGAATGGAGCAGGGTTCACAGAGGAGCAGGACACAGAACAAGTACATTTCCTAGGCCCTGCTCCCCATGTTCTGAACCTTGGTGTTTTCCTTTTTCAGTTCCCAGGGTCACTCACAGTTCTAGGAGTGTCCAGCCACAACCTCCGGAACCCTATGGTAATGTCCCTGGGTGTGGCATAGTCTCGGACAACTGGATCCCAGATCCATACTACTGCAACACATTGAACCTCTCCACAAGCCAGTCCCAGTGCCTCCAGTCCACACACCTGGGTTTTCATGGATTTTCATACCCTTTGCTTCCATTTTGGCCCATCCCACGAAAGTGGCAGGCTTCCCACCCAGTCTGGACTTAGGGTCCCAGGGGGATGGATGGAACTCTGTCACTGGAGCCTTTGATTTGAGATGGTCCTTGAACCACCCTTAGGGCTCTGTTTGCGCTGATGCCCACTGTGTTTTTAGTCACCAGAAACAGCCTCTGATAAATGTCAAAGCTGGATGTCATGGGCGCCTCTGGGACGATGTGAGAAAATGATAACTCCTCCCAAGGTCAGATTTTTCCAGGTGTTTTCAGTCCTTATATCCCCCAGCCTTCACAGCATCTTTCTATATGCTGTCACTTGAGGTGGAAACAGAAGTCCCCTGGGCAGCAGGGGAAGGGACTATTTAACATCTCCCCTGCCCCCTGTGGGCACTGCATGGTATCTATAGAGTCCCTGTGAGTAATGGCTGAAGTCAGTGACGATAACCCTAAGTGTCTGGGACTCATCTGACATTTTTCATTTGAAATGAACACATGTCATACAGTTTACAGGGAGTGGGCCATCTCTACAGCCCAACACCGTCTACACGTAACCCTTTGCCTAATTCTTGAAGCCTTTCTACGGGAGAAGTGTCATTATTTCCAACAGCAGATAAAGAAACTGAAGTTCAGAGTGGAAAGTGACATATCCAAGGATGCTCAACTACTCCTAGCCACCCAAACAGCAAAGCCCCAAGCTCCCCAAATCTGACTGAAGTGGAGGAGGCTTTTGCTGCATGCAGCCCCCTGTATGGGGTTGCTCTTTTGGGAGACAGCAGCCTGCACAAGGTCTGAACCCAGGGCATTTTTGGGTCAGTCAGGACCTACACACCTCAGGGACCTAGCCTAGCCACACTCAGTGTTTGAATAACTAGACTCCCATAGGCCCTCCAGCTACCATCAATTCCCTTCCACTTTCTTTAAATTAAATGGAATAGAAAATGTTTGATACCCATTAAAACAACATTGGAATGCTTGCTCCAGCAGACTCATCCTAAGCTTGGGAGCTAGTCCAGAGAGTTCTACATGTATAGACAAAACCTTTGAATAGTACCATTTATTAGTTTGGTTTTTCAAGGTACTTTTATGTATTGTCTTATTTTCATCTCCTCTTTCTCTTTCCATTCAACCCATTCATTTGGTCTTTTTTTTGTTTGTCTCCCCAATTTTTGTCCCATACTGGTGTGTCTTTTCTTTATCCTTTAAGACTTTATACAAATGCTACCTCCTCCAGTAAGTCCTCTTGGATTTCTCCAGGTGATATTACAATCGCTCTGCAGCCCAATGCATGCCTTTTAAAGAGCACTTGGAAAGCAGTTGTCATTAATTGTTCAAGCTTCTCACCTCCTTCAGGGGAGTATAAGTCCCCAGAGGCAAGGACCTGTGTACCCTACACTATACACTAGCATAGTGCTTAGGACATGACAAGGTGTGTGCATAATTACAGGAGGAGGAACATGTCCCTAAGTTCTGTCTCCTGTAACTTTAAACCCAAAAAACAGTAACACTGAACAAAATGTCCCTTGCAACTGCCATCCACTTGGTCAATGACCCCCTCTTGAGTATCCCGAGACTCTTTCTGGAACTTCCATCTTGTTAGATGGTCCAGTGTCTTCCACTCTGTCTGTCTTGGAGGAGCTGAGTGTATACCACCCTGACTGCTAACCTTTGGAGACTGTGGTCCCTGAGCGTGTTTTGGAGGCATGCAGGAACTGAAGAGTTGCTTCATATCAGGGGGTCAACCCCTTAAATATCATCCATACAAGGGGCAGTGAGCCCACATTTTAAAGGACAAAGCCCTCTACACAGCAGGTAGCCTCGCTGCAGCTTCTACTCTGTCCACACAATGTTCCAGCTCCAGAGTTCATCTCAGCTGGAGACAACTGCCCCAAACCTTTCCTGCCACTGATGGTCTTTCTGCCCAAAGACACTGGCACAATAAACACAGACATGGTCATTCTGGAGCAGTGTGAAGAAAAAACAAATCCAAGAGCAGTTTGAAAAGCTGGGCATTGGTGGCACACACCTTTAGTCCCAGAACTTGGGAGGCAGAGGCAGACAGATCTCTGTGAGTTCAAGGCCAGCCTGGTCTACAGAGCTAGTTCCAGGACAGGCTCCAAAGCAATACTGAAAAATACTGAAAAACCCTGTCTGGAAAAACCAAAAAAAAAAAGGGGGGGGAATCCTACCAAGAAATGATGGGGATGAACATGTTGGCAAAGACATAAAGGCTCATAGCCTGGGGACTGAATTGGGGAGGGGTTGTTAGTGGTGGGGTGGGGGCTGGACATAGAGAGGCAGAAGCTAAAACTGTTCTAAATAAAGGGCTGGGTCCAAATAGTTCAAGTGGAATGGCCAAGTATGATCTCCCCCAACAAAAACAGCTCAAGACTCAAATCCCCTCAACTTAAAGACCCAGGCTTCTCAGCATTCTTGGGTGGAAGGAATCTTGGGACAGAAAAGAGACCTTGGATTAAAAACTGAAATAAACCTGGAATAGTGGTGCACACCTTTGATCCCAGCACTGGAGACACAGAGGCAGGCAGATCTCTAAGTTCTAGGCCAGCCTGGTCTACACAGTGATTTCCAGGCTAGCCAGGGCTACACAGAGAAACCCTGTCTTGGAAAACACACACACACACACACACACACACACACACACACACACACACACACACACCAAAAACAAAATCCCAAACAAACAAAAACCCTGAAGTGATGAGAATTGGATCAGCAAACCACCACATGCCACTCTGCACAGATAATCCACTGTAAGCATCATTATTGCAATAACTGATGACATTTGAACAAAATATGACTTTTAGATGGTAGTAGCATTTCAAAGGTAATCTGGTAAATTTGGTGGTTTCGTGAAGCATGTGTGAGATAACCTATTGTGTGGGCAACTTGTTGCAAAATGAGAATCTTTTTCTATTCTCCTTTAATAATTTCTTCCAAACTAATAATACCTAATTAAAATTAAATATGTAAGAAAAATAAAAAACTGGTTCCATGGGCAGACTTTTTTTTTTTTCTTTTTTTGGTTTTTTTGAGACAAAGTTTCTCTGTGGCTTTGGAGCCTGTCCTGGAACTAGCCCTTGTAGACCAGGCTGGTCTCGAACTCACAGATATCTGCCTGCCAAGGGCAGACATTTTAACTGTATTCTGCCTCTGACAGAAAGGATGTCTTTCCTAGATAGAGCCACTCCCAGCTAAGCCCCAGTTCTAATCCTGGTAAATGTGGGTAAGTGCTTTAAATTGTCTCTGGACTTGGCCACCCCTTTCAAGGATCAGGGTAAGGTTCTGCTTATCTATACAAACCCCTAGCTGTTTGTACGTTTTCCAGAGGGGAGGAAATAACAATAATGATAATCAATATTGTTGACCACTATGTAATGTCTTCTCGGTAACTCAGACCTGTGTCCATATGTCAATCAGGGACAAAGAAAGGGATGTTGAAAGGAAGGTCTAAAGACATTCAGGGTACACTGTCTACACTGAAGGGATTTTCAGTGCTACTAGCTATGGACAAGGGGCTGCCTGAGAGAGGAATATACAAGATAACCCACTGTGCAGCAACAGTAAGACCACACTACCTGCCAGCCTCTTATATTTGCCAACTGCTTTACAAGGCCTTCTGGATGGAGGGGAAACTGGGGTCAGAGTGATGGCAAAAGTCACTGCAGGTGGACGCAGAGATGGGTTTAAAACACTTACGTCGGAGGATCTCCCGTTGCTTTCTGACGTACCAGGTGTACAGGGCAGCTCGCTTCTGGGTCTTCATTGGGGTGCCCTTGTTGAGGTGCTGGGAGAGGTGGGATTGGTTCAGGCCTGTGACATCAACCACCTCCCTCTGGGGGATGTTATGCTGCTGCATGTAGCCCTTGATCATTTTGGCAGCTCTCCAAGGATCCTCACTAAACAGATAAGCAGACGATTAGGGTGCCAGTGGGAAATGCCCAGGGGAAAATAATTCACCTGCTATATACAAAACTCATCCTCACATTTCTCTCCACTTGTCCAAATGACAACTGTGAGAGGTGTATGGCTAAAAGAAAACAACATGGGGGAGGCGTAGATGTAGCTTTTTCTTCTGAGACAGGCACAGGAGAATCCTCATCTTTAAGCCCACTCCCACCCCCATCACACTTGCCACCCCCAAGCCACGGAAAATAAAAAGCCTTATTCTGCTTACTTTGGATTTCAAGAGACTTAAAGACAAGAGCCCTACAGGGAAGTGGAGGTGCTAGGACCCAAGTTGGCCAAACTGATTCTCCAGGGAGCCAAATGAGTTTTTCAATCCACCCTGTTTCATTCTAAACCTCTCCAGCATTTTCCTCCTTCTGAAAAGAAGGCCCAGTCTGTTAAAGGAGGAGTGGGCCTGTGTGCCCACCTCCTGGGATGCAATGAGTCTTTCAAAGAGTGCCTGGATGCTTAAAAAAAATTGTTTGATGTGTTTAGAAACCTCCCGAAGTCAAACTGAGTTATTTCATAAACATTTGTATAGTTGTGATTCCTTTTGTAGCCAAATATTACATTGTTCTTGGAGTTTTAAAAAAGTGTTCTCAAATACAATGGCAGCGCTCCCTCGAGTTGAAGAATTGGACACTTGCAAAAGCAGGTAAAATTTTTGTTGTTGTTTTTATTTTGTTTTGTTTCTTAATTATCCACAGGACTGCCTCCCAAATAGACCGTAGTGAAGAATAGTAATTTCAGTTTTGGGAGTGAGACATTAATGATCTCAATGCCCCGTTTGCCTGTGCGATTGTCTCTCTGATACAGAAAGGCTGCCTGGGAGATGACAATTCTGTGGATTTCAAGTTTGGACTGAGAATGTAGTCTTATGTCTTGCAAACACAGGCACAGCTTGTCATTATAAACAAGGCACAGGGATGTCATCGAGGCTTTTTTTATTTAGAATGTTTCCAACCTCACTGTTATTCTTTCTTGCTTGTTAAATGGAATATTTAGAATGAAAACTGTCATTTAAATTGAGAGACCGAGAAGGTAAAACAGAGGGCACAGATCAAAAGTCTTGAAGGAACAAGTATATGTACAATTTATTTGATGGAGTTGCAGAAACAGTCTTTGACTACGTGTTGATATATATATTAGCTTAATAGAACCTGAAGGAAAAAAGAGAGAGAGAGAGAAAATTGGGTTCAGATGAAACAATAAAAACTGGTGTTAAAGCTGAGACCAAATTAGACACAGTGGTAAAACAATTATTTTTCAATGGTACCTGTAAAATCAATTAATTTGCTTAATGTATTAAAAATATCTAGCAATCAAGGGAGATATTTTAGGCATCTGCATTGTGACTATTTCAGCAAGCCTTGGCTATTGGGTTCGGGAGAAGGCAGGCTTTGAAAGAGATGTTTTTGAGAAATGGAAACTTTCACATTATTTATACACAAGTTAACAAATTTCTCAAGCATTTATAAAGGCACATAATGTAAAACAACATAACGAAGCAATGAGAACAAAAGCAGAGGAAATGCGTTCCACTGTCACACCTGGCGAACTCACTGTGAGCGAAAGAAAAACAGGGCAATCAACATTTTAGACATAACCACATAAATGCCAATGACCGTCTAAACACTCGTTGCTGGCTAACATTTCCAAAGATATCTTTAGAGTAGAAAAATATTGCTAACAGTACGAACAATAGCTCCAAAAGTTAGATAAAACAGTATTTGGGTTTTAAAAGTTAATACTGTATCGCTTTAACAGGTCACTTGGGCGGTTTCCCTTTGTTTAACTGTTTTACCTGTTATTCTGCGTGCCTAAGAAACCTAGTGAAATGGTGTGTTCTAAGTATGAATGCTTCTGTGCAAAGGGGGACATTAACTCAACAATGAAACGGTTAAGGAAGAAAGAAAGAAAGAAAGAAAGAAAGAAAGAAAAAAACAAAACAAAAATCAAAAGAAAACTCACACAAAAACCGTTGAGACAAAACCTTCAGGCCCGGAATTAGAAGATTTGAATTGGGGGTAAGATGGCGTAGCTACATTTTTTTTTTTTTTTTTTTTCTTTTTTAAACCTCTCAGACCCCTTAATGTCTATCTCGCGTGTTCCTTGAGGAGAGCTCTGAGGCCCCGGTAAGGAGTTTTGGGGAAATATAGTTTCCTCACCGGGATAAACTCAGTAGAAGTTGGCTTTTTTGGAGCCTGAGCAGGTGTCAAACGCCAGCCCGAAGTGGCCACATTGTCCGCCGCTGGGCCGGCTCCTTCCTCAACAATGACTTTGCTGTCCCAATGCAGAGAAGCCTTGAGCCCCAGCCGCGAGGGCCAAGAGCCTCGGTTCCTGCTTCCTAGGTGGCGATTGATTCTGCTAAATGCCGGGATCACTTCAGCCCCTGGCCGGCGGTCACTCACTGCAGGGACACTACAATGTGTAACCATCCTCTCAGGCCAGGCTTCTCCAGCCAGAGTGAAGGCGTCCAGGCGTACTACCGAGTGGCCCTCCTCCCCCGCACACCTTTCTTTTCTTTCTGTCTTACAGGGGAACAAGGGGGGTTGGGTGAGGGGAGAGAGTGCCTGGTACCCTGTTGCCGTCTGCGTAGTGACCTGGGAGTCGCTAGCAATTTCTTGAAAAATTACTTTAATAAAGTCGGAAGCTCCAGGAGGTCAGGGGAGGGAAGGCGGCACCAGCTTGTGAAAGGGACAAAAACCTTAGGGTGTGTCCTGGGTCCTCACCCCAGCTAGAGTCTGGGCTGCTCTCCTTTTGCTCCCCACCAGCTTGGGGGAGGGAAGGGCCAAGTCCTAAGACCGCCGACCCGGACAGGCTCTGAGTCTGCGGGGCTCTGCAGGAATTGGCTTCCCGGAGTGGCACAGGGACCTGGGGGGGCGCGCCCTGCGGCGTAGTACGTGTGCCGTCCCAGCGCCCCGCGAGCACCCCCTCCTGCGTTTTGATTTCCTTCCCTTCTAAGCCGAGTTTACAACTTCACCAATGAATAACCCGCCTCTCTTTTCAACCTAATCACGGTCTTTGTGTACTTTCTGTTGATGATTTATAGGAATAAATTAATAACACCCCAACTCCACGTGCTGCAGTTTATGTTACATCTCCACTGTGTGCAGCACCGTGTGGGGACCGCAGGAGAGAGATGCACTAGGCCTCCCGTTGGGGCTCCGAGGCAAACTAGTCGGCGGGACACGGCAGCCTGGAATAAGGACCCAGGCCCCAGGGGTCTGGCGACGGGATGGTAGGTAGCCGAGCCGGGCCCAGGACAACCTCCCTACCACCCTGCCTCCCTAGTCGTTCGGAGGGGCCCGGCTTCCCAGTCCGTTCCCTCTACTCCTGATACCATCCAGGCCCCTAAACCCGGCCGGAGAGAAATCACCGACACATGGAGAAACAGCAAGGGAAGAAACTCCAGCTTGTGAATTAGAGAAAAAAAAAAAAAAAAAAAAAAAAAAAAAAAAAAAAAAAAAAAACCAAACCAACCAACCAAACAAACAAAAAAAGAGACAAAAGAAGACATTTTAGGGATTTTAGGGGATTAAAAAACAAAATTAGAAGTCCTGCAGATTGCCTTGGCTAGAGGGCAAGCCGCACGGTTCCCAAAGCGCAAATTCAAATGCAAGGTCATATCCCAACCCAAATGAGCACTGCCGGATCGAGGAGAGCTGAGCCGCCCAGGCTGGACATTCACTCTGGATTCTGAAACTTTGAAGCCTCGGGGCTTAAGAGTCAGAGGCCACGCGAGGGGCTCCTTCCTGAAGCCAAGTGGCTCCAGAGAGACGTGTAGTCTAAGGGAATCACTTGTCTCCTTGGATAATTAGTAACTAGCTGTCAAAGTGTAGGCCAGTGCGAGTGATCCCAGTCACCCGATAGACCTCCAGCGTGCCAGTTCCCCCCAGGATCGCAGGGGTGTCTGTAGTAAGATGCGTACACGCCCATCTTTCCCAGATTGGAACCAGGTGCTCCACAAAGTGGGGCGAGGGAGCCTTAGGAGCATGTAACCCAACTTTTCTCTTTCTTTCATTCGTGGTTTCTTTTGCCCAGCACGGATCCATCGTGACCCTACAGCAAACTTTCCGCTTTACAAATCTAGTCCCGACCCAAAGAACTTGCCTCCCAGGCCTCAGCCACCGATGCTGCCAGACCCTCTCTGCAAAGAGCTGCAGGTCTCTGGGAGAAATGAGTGTCTTGAGGTTTTGGAAGTGGGTGAGAGCACAAGTTTAAAGTCCTAAGAAATTCACAGCTGTTTCACCGCACCCACCAGCACGTCTAGTCGTGTGACCTAAGGTTTTGTACCTTCGGTTCTCGCGCCTGGGTACCTTCACCAACAAGGTGCTTGTGTCCAGCGCGGCGGCCTAGGTAGAGGCAGATGAAGCCTCAGGTTCCAGGTCACTCGTTTGAGGGACTGGTTCAATTGTTAGCAGAGAAGCGGAGCACCCTCGGGGGATTTTTCCCATGGGAGAGGGGCTCGTGGGCGAATAGTCTGCACCACACCCCTCCGGCGCAGGGCCAGGGACCCGGGGCATAGGGATGGCCCGGGGCGTACCCAGCGCCTCGCTTGCTGCCTACCTGAGCATCCGGTCCACCTCTGCCCGCTGCTCCGCGGCCTCTTCGGTGTTGAGTGCTTGCAGCTCCTTGAGGATGGGAGGGGTGTCATAGTCGTCCCCGTCCTCCGAGCCCTCGTCCCCAGACAATCGACCCTTGGAGTGGCCATTGGTGAGAGTATGGAAAACCGGCTTGGTGTCCAGATCCGCCCCGCTCCCGGGGGACAGGGGCAGCGTCTCCAGTTTCACCCCGAAGTTCGGGGACGGCAGTAACTCCTCTAAGGCCTGGATCAGCACTTCTTTGGTGACTCCAGAGCTCAGCAGGGCGCTCAGGAGTTCTTGCTGTAGCGAGGTGAGCTTGGACACCATTTTCCAAGGTCGGAAAAAGAAGGGTGTGAGGGGATGGGTGGGTGTGAGAGAGGAGGGTGGAGGGGAGTTTTACAAGAGAACCCCAAGTCCTGGAACCCCTCCACCCTTTAGCCTCCAGACACCTGTTACTCCCCAGGGTCCCGGAGTCTCCTCCGAGAGGAGTCAGAAAACTTCTAACTTGCCATGATCGCCACCATTAGGCCATATAAGATATGCAAATGAGTGGGAAGGGCTCGGCTTTCGGCAAGATGCAAATGGTGGCGGGGAGGGGGAAAAACCGAGAGAGTGGGAGAGCCTAAGGGACAATCCAGCGGAGCCAGAGACTTGGGCCAGGATCGGGACTTGCCAGAGCCCATTGTACTCACCCTTGGGGGGCTCCAAATCTTCTCTACCGATTCTGTTTATCAGCCAAACTTTAGCTGACCTTTGGACTTGTTAAGCAAGTGGCTTGCAGCCTAGGCTGGGTGGGGGTTGGGTAGGGGGCTCTTCCACTGGCAGCGGGTTCAACTTTAGTCCAGAAAGAAGAAACTGCGCTTCGGGGGTTCAGGTGAGAGAGCTGGAGAAAGTTGGGGTGCCTTGGAAGAGGGGAGTGAGGGGAGGGTGAGAAGGGAGGAGAGTCTCTAAGATATCCTCAGGTAGCAACCCTGGAAATGCAGCTGGGTGGTGAAGAGTCCTACCCTCTGGGAATGGGCACCAGGAAGAGTGTGGCTCTGGGGAAGGTTAGAACGAATTGGAGGGGCCACGTTTGTTTTCATCTCTGTTATTGCTCTCCAGGCCCTACTCAGCCAGGCCTGGTAAGTTTGGATATGCAGGGCAGCCGGCCCAGATCGCGAAGTTAGGGTGCTAGAGGCTTTGAGGACCCTTGAAAAAGAGGCTCCCACTGACTAATTTATGATCAGAGTGAGTAGCGAAAGTCGACCTCCGCTGTGCCCGGAGGAGCAGGACACCTGGGGCACGCTCTTTAGCCTAAACCCGGAACATAAATGCACCTTGGCTTTACCAGCAAAACTAGGTCTGCGGGGACCCCGATGAATGCTTAGATTGGCCTGTGGCTGGACCGACTGTCCCAGCTGCGTGTTACCCACTTTTTCTGGTTCTTAGTTCTAGGAGGTCCGCGATACCGGTGGCTGGAGTTAAAGACGCGCGCTAGTAAACTGTGGCGGTGGTCTTGCATGGCACCTAAAGCAGGCACCCCCAGAGCCATTGAAGAAACTCTCCCCCCACTCACCCAGATCTGGCCCGGAAGGAAGCCATGAGCCTTTCAGCACGGCAGGAGTTTCTGCCACATCTCCCCAGGGACCCGGAGAGGAAGAAAGGAGGCGCAGGCCGCACCCAGACCTCCTGGCTAGGATCTGACCTGCAGGGGTAGAGACTGCTTAGATCCACAAACAGTAGTAGCTCCCGGGGCAGAGGCCATTTTGAACCTCCGTTCCCTCGTTTGTGAAATATACTCCTAATAGCCAGGTTGCAGGAAAGGTGTAGACCCCGAGGAAGATCACCTGCGCAAAGCTGACTGACATCTTTGTTCACACTTTCCAGTCCGTGAAGATGGGAGGCCACTTCCCAGGGATAAAATATAGATAACCCTTTGGAAGCTCAGGGTTCTCAGAATCAGTTTGGAAGAATTGGGCAAAGAAGGACAGAAGTTACGAACCAGCAGGAGAGCAAAAGAACTTCTAAGTACAGTCTCTTGACTGCTTGTACTTTCAAACGCAACGGATTAGGAGGAAATTGTGGTTAGGTCAGAGGTAGAGATGAATATTCACAAGGGAGAAGAGAGGCCCGCAGCCCTCATCTGCTAGGCACCGGATCAGACCTCCTGGTGAGCAGACTCGGGGATTCTGAGTCAGGATGCAAGGGTGAAGATTTTGTGAAAGGCAGAGCAGAGATCAGTATAGGATCATCCGTCCTCCGAAGGGGGTGGGTTCATGCGTTTACTCCTAGCACTGTTTTTCTAAGAAAGGGGTTCTAAGTTCACAGAAGTGGGAACCTTCACTTCACCTTCTTGCTTTCTAGTTTGTTGTGATGTGACAGACTCTTGCCTCTTGCTTGTGATTCTCTCTGACTCCTAGTGCCATTCAGGCAGTATAATGAAATGTTCAGAGTAAATGTCTCAGGCTGAAAGCCTTGTTTCCCGTCTCTTACTCAACATCATAAGAATAATGGTCATCAGTTTGTCTTAAGCCAGGAAAACGCATTAAAAAGCCATCATCACTGTCTACTTATCAACACAGCTTTGACTTGTAGTTCTAATTAGTGTGTGCCATTAGACACCCAAACCTCCCTCTATCTCAAAACTCAGGTGTTAACACATTTTCTCCTCCCAACACATGCACACACCAGGCACCCATATGAATAAGCAGAAAGCTACACTTATAGTGCAGGGAACAGTTCCCATGTGTGTGCAGGTAGGTCTCCCTGGTAACCTGGCTGTTCATACCCTGAGACTATCCTACCCAGATCTATAGTTTATTTACTACTCCAGGCAGGCAATATAGGTGAATATCAAGTAATTGCAATTACAGATGTGCTAGCAGATTTTATACCCATGAATATGTATTAACATTTTATTTTTATGTGGAGTGTTTTGCTTGCATGTATGTGTACATGTGTATACTTAATGTCTTTGGAGGCCAGAAGAGAGTGTTGCAGTTGGGTCAGAGGAATTGATATCACAGAAGTTTTGAGCTGACATGTGAGTTTTGGGAATTGAGCCCAGGTCCTCTGTAAGAGCAACAAATGCCCTTAACCACTGAGCCATCTCTCTAGCCCTGCCATGAAAATGTATGAAGGAAAATACAAGTAGAATTGCATGACTAAATGAGCCACCTCATGAAAGTTTTACTCTACAGTAAATTTTTTGCTAAGAGAGGATGAGTTTTAGGAAATGAAAAGGCTCCCTAGTCCTCATTTCTCTCGGAGAAGAGAAGCAGGGGAGTCCTACAGGAGGAAGATAGAGGACAAACCATAGGGATGGAAGACAGGCTTTGACTGCATCCTGATGAAGATTCATCATTGTGGGCTGGGCAGTGGTGGCACACACCTTTAATCCCAGCACTTGGGAGGCAGAGGCAGGTGGATCTCTGTGAGTTCCAGGCAGCCTGGTCTACAAGAGCTTCCAAATCCACAAAGAAACCCTGTCTCAAAAAAACCAAAAAAAAAAAAAAAATCATCACTGTGACTAATTTATGTGTTGTGGGGGTGAGGGGGGTTGTTGAGTGTCCACTTAAATTATATGATATGGAATTCCTTAAAGTCCTCAAGTTCCTGAGATGTTCACTTCCAGATCTTTGGACAGGTGGTGAAAAATCTGAGGCCAGTCTTCTGTATAGTGGGAGACATGGGATTTTTTCAGGGGCCCATGAGACATTACACTACAGAGAATAAGATCCAGAGGAACGGTGTCTTTTGGCTGCTTACTTGCCATTGCCTGGAGAGCTGCTGAGATTTGCAGTTGTTCAGTGAGATATCTGTGGAATGAATAAACAAGTGGGCATGGATGGTACCATGAAGAAAGATTTTGGTGACTTGTCAAATTTTCCTGGCTATCAGCAATAAAATTGTAGACTTAAAATAATAACACTCCCAAGTACAAACATATGTACTGTGTTCCATTTGTATTGCATCAACTAGGAAAGCAAACCCATAGTGGTGTAGGTTACTAGTGTAGTAGAAAGGCTCTATTTTTTTTTAAAAAAAAGTTTGCTTATTTACTTATTTTAAATGATAATTCACTATTATTGTTTTATATTTAAAATTAACTTATTTTATGTCTACTAGTGTTTTGCTTACATGTATGTCTGTGTACTGGGTGTGTGCCTGGTGTCTATGGAGGCCAGAACAGGGCAGCAATCTCCTGGAACTAGAGTTACAGATGGATGTGAGCTGTCATATGGGTGCTGGGAATAGAACCAGGAACTAGGGTCCTCTGGAAGAACAGTCAGTGCTCTTAGTCACTGAGCCATTTTTCCATGTTTATTTATTTTTAATGTGTATGGGTGTGCCCAAATGTCTGCGCACCATGTGCATGCAGTGTCTATGGAGGCCAGAAGAGGGCATCTATACTGGAGCTGGACTTACAGGTGAGTGTGAGTCCCCACGTGGGTGCCAGAACTGAATCCAGGTCCTCTGCAAGAGCAGCAGGTGCTCTAAAATACTAAAGCATCTCTCCAGTCCCCAATTACAAAAATATTTTTACTTTATGTGTGAAAGTGTTTTAACTGCATGCATGTCTGCACCATGTGTGTCCTTGGTACCTGTAGAGCCAGAAGTGGGCAACAGATCTCCTCGAACAGGAGTTACGAATAGTTGTGAGCCACCATATGGGTATTCAGAATCAAGCTGGGTCTCCTGCCAAGAACAGCAAGTGCTTTTAACTGTTGAGGCATCTCTTGAGTCCCTGAAGACTCTATATCTTTCTTTTTGGCCTGGAACTCACTATGTAGACCAGGCTGACCTTGAGCTGCTAGGGATCCACCTGCTTTGGTTTCCCTCATGCTGGGATTAAAGGCGGTCCTGTGTTTTGATGGACTCGGGATCCATCTGTAGTTCCTGTGAACATTGATCTGTGTATTTGTGCACATTCCTGTACATAAATTATAACTTAATTAGAAAAATGAAAATCTATTCCAAAGTTGTATATGGTGGCACTTGGGAGGTAGAAGCAGGAGCATCAGGAATTCAAGACCAGTTTGGGAGAGTTCAAGGCTTGCCTGAACTATAAGATTCTCAAACAACAACATGTAGCTCTGGCTGTCCTGAAACTTGCTTTGTAGACCAGGCTGGCCTGAAGCTCAGAAATTTGCCTTCCTCTGCCTCCCAAGTGCTGGGATTAAAGTTGTGAGCTACTACACCTGGCCAATCAGGTCTGCACAGCAAGATCTTGTCTTTAAAATTAGAACCAAGCCAAACAAAACCCTAGACATTAGTATGTTCTAATAGTCAACAATCCTTTTCCATAAAGGGTTAGATAGTAAATATTTTATGCTCTGTGGGCACAAAAATCTCTGTGACAACTACTCAATTCTATTGCATGCAATGCAAAAATGAATACCCATTATGAAGACTTTATTTATGAAAACCTTATTTATTAAAAAAGAAACTGGCTAGCAACATATTTGGTCCATGGGCCACACTTCATCAATCTCTGGATAAAACATTTCTGCAGGCAAGAACCTGTAGATACATGGTGACTTTGGAAGTGGTCTTACATCCTTTGTTCCCTCATGGGGAAGAAAGAAAGAAATAAGCAAATGCCTTATTTGGGAGAAAAAATGACTTTCCCAAGAAATATAACCCAGGATTTTAGGAAGTCCAGTTTTGGAGTCAAGTGGAGAAGCTGCTTTCTGGGCATGCCTAGTTTGACTTAGGGCAAGTTACTCCATTTCTTCTAGT